GTTTGTTTCTCTTCGGAAACTGAATCTTTGTGCGTGAAATTTTATATATTGTCTCTAGTGATCGCAGCTGACATATACGTGTTGGGAAAGAATGTCAGATTTTTCCGGAAAGGATTCCTTTAAGTCTGGCACTTCAATCCTAAACGTACTGCGGTACTTATGGCGGCCGTGGTCAGTGCATATTTTTCGCAGCAAGCATATTACCAAGGGGATTTTATGACTGCTTATCTTGAACAAAGGGTATAATTTTTGGATTTACCGCTAGTTTTTTGCTTGCAGTAAGTCAAGGCACTAGTGATACTAGTTTTGGCAAAAAGAGATCCGCGTGCAGCACGAAGAGGGTATTCCTCGATTTGGAGGCAGTTCGCAAAGATTTGAGACAAACAATGTCTCAGCAGTTTCTGCACTGAATGACGGTCCTTCTGTCAGTTGTTGTAGATACATTACGGCATTATAGTACAATTTTTTGGACATAAAAAAGATCGCGATTTCATGCGGAGGACATGCGAAAAACCACCGTGTCGTCAAAAGGTTAAACTGAATCAGCACCTTCTGAAAACTCTTGAACACACTAATATCTTGACATAGTTAACTTCTGTAAAAAAGCTCCATGGGCTATGTTGACCGTGTTGAAGTGATTCACCTTTTGGTAGCAGTAACCACCCGGCTTTCCCCATCCAACAAGTGGATCTGTAGATGGTGCTCCATTGACTGAAGGCTGACTGTTCACAGTGAGAATGCCCTGGAAAAGAAGCAACGATGGAATCAATGGGCCAATCCCTACAAATGGTTGAGAAACAAACATTTTGATTGCACCACAGTAATTGTTCGTTAATCAGCTCTGTTTCAGCTTGCACACCGCTCTCTTGCTCATTCCACGGTAAGCTCGTCACCTGAAAGCACCTATCATTCTTGGACCCACTCGAATTAGTGGGAGCAGTCACCGCTCCCGTAAGGAAAGGAAAGGACTAATGGTGAAACTCCATGAAGGAGACCGGGCTTATTCAACGGAACCACCTTACCTTGACCCCTTGATCGTTAACCGACTGAGAGATGAAATTTGTGAATACTTTTTTCACGTCATCGAAGCAGGCAATCTCTTCACATACATCGTAAAACAGGTCTTCTTTCTGGCGTTTGGACGCAAAACTGACCGTGGTGATGGGTGATTAACTAACGCGGCTGAAGGAAATCAACTATATTCGACTAGTGCAAAGCTGACCTTCAGAGTAGAAAAGGATTAATGATCCTTGCAAATCGCCAAAACGCGTTGCGCGAAGAACATGTTACCCAGCGTCCATGTTGGGAAATATCAATCTGAAAAGAACAAAAATTCGATAAAAAACAAGGCATACAGCAAACCTACAAGCTACCCTTGTGCGGTAAATATAACTCTTTGGTCGGGCACTCCAAAATATCGGTCGCACATCTTCTTTGCATCTAAACAAAAACATTGATCATGTAAACTTCGATGCAGAGTGCCTACGCACCTTAGCGGTAGGGATCGAGTTGCCAGGGCGGTTTCCATGGCAGAGTGCCGCATCCGGTTCGGCTTGTGCAAGACGCCAGTTCTTGTAGCGATCTCACTGGAAAGACACTTCTTAGCGGCTGCAAAGGTTCGAGCCATGGTGGTACAAGATTGAGGAACCTATGATTAAACGGCTCACCGGCAGGCACCTTCTCTATTCATTGTGTATAAATGAATTGAAGGGGCCGATCCATTCGATAAAATTCGACGACACATCTCAATGGCCTGAAGATAGGAAGCTATAGAATTGAATCCTACAGAAGAATTTCTTGTGCTTTCCAGCGTTCGCTTACTAAGCGATGAACACTTTTGTTGATGGCACGTATGGGAAGATATCACTCGCATTGCTATCTCTGCTCAACCGAAACCTTCGGACCATGTTGGAAACACTCCGAGTGTGACTTACTCTACGGTTGAGACCAAAGGAGGGATGGTTCAGCAGTCACACCGGAGGGGCTCGAACATGGCTGCGACGGCCAGACGAGCGAGGAGATGCCAATGCGATTGAGACCAAAGGAGGGACGGTTCAGTAACTGTTTGAGAATTATCAGAAGATCGAGTCAACAGTTTCTCACCCATGCGAGTTCGAGCCCACCCCAAGCTGCAGAGTGGAAGCTCTTGGTACTGCGGCACCATTTCTATCCAAACTCCAACACTTTGAAAAAATACCTTAACGGTTCCGTACTTCCTCACAGCATCGTCGTCAAATTTGATCGGCTCGAGATCAGATAGAATGGATTCGGGAATCGTAAGCTGAGATAGTGTTGCTATACGACGAATTGAGTCGTAACCCTAGAAAACGTTGCGATGAATTCAAAGAAATAAAAAAAACATTATAAGTGAAAACTCAGTGCAAAACTTTCCCTACCATTATTGGCATAATTCCAGGAATGATCGGAACAGTGATTCCTATTTCGCGACAATCACGCACGAATTCTTCAAATACCTTCAACAATTCAGATAAAGAAAACGAAATACCGGTATGAATTACGGGAAAAAATAGCAGTTATTCTTACCTCAGCCTCGAAAAAGAGTTGTGTAATGATAAATTGAGCGCCTGCCTCACATTTTGACTTCAAATACAGCAGTCGGCTTTGTACGACGGGGCCTCGGGATGACCCAGAGGATATCCTAAAGAAGACTATGTAAAGAGCGTAGAAACATGCTGATTCCCGTAAGCCAGACCATTTCAGTTCGATACTTTCTGCTCTTTCAATCGCAAATGACCTTTGAGCGCTCAGAGAGAAATGCGATCAGCAGATAAGAACATAGCGCGATTTTCTCGTAGACCATGGCAGACATGAACAAAGTGCACTCGCGAGTCGTGGCGACCAATACATCAAAGACATTACTACCAGTGATGATACCATTCTACAGCACAGACAGTGGTAGAAAACATTGCTGGAAAAGACTGTGAGATTATGGTGGAGTTCGTTTATACCTACTTCGCAGTTGATGTGGTACGAATTAAATAAAATATAGCCTTCAGAGCCTCCTTATTCGCCTTCCACATTCAAGTAGAGGAAAATTTCGAAACATTAGATTGACAGAAGTCAGCAAAATGTTTCAAGCAATCCAAAACACTTGAGCACACAAGTTTTGAGCTGTTATCAGATACAGAAGAATTTTAACGTATCCCTTCTGAGGACCCAGTATTGCACCAAATATAAATAAAGTGGTGAATGTGTATCTGTAAGAAACGCCTCTACTTATCGGATATGCAGTAATGCTAATTTTCCCCGTCTGTGGTTTGCTTGAGCACGACGAAAAATTCGTTTAAGTTATAGCTGCGAGCAAACGGACAAGTAAATACGTAGAAGTAGAAGTAGAAAGATGGATTAAGCGGCGGAAAGAGAGAAAGTCAAAGGCCTTAAGAACAAGAGGCGGGATAACATAGTTGAAGTGAGAAAT